CGAACCTTGTGTTAAAGTTATTCGCTGTTGGTGCTGTCGAAAACGCAGGTCTTGGCGAATTGTTCGCAGCTGGCCCTTGCGTTTGGGTCATTAACAACTCCTAAAGAGCTTCTTCCTCATGTAGTTCAATGAGACCGTGTACGAAACATTACAAAGTTCACAAATCAAATTTACCTGTAAAACAGACTGCTGCTGACCACCCTGAGAAGGTTGTCCGCCCGGTTGACCTCCTCCAGCTTGGCCATAACCAGCTGGTGCCATCGGAGCTGGCATTGTGGATTGTGACGTGGTCTAGAAAATAAAGACTTGATAGACTTTTCCAAGCGAATATCTTGTAAGGACTCAAATTTTTTTGAATTCAATTCAAGAAATTTTTCACACCTAAGCGCAATGAGCACTAATTGCTTTTATACATTATCCATCCATAGAATACAAATTCTCTCGTAAAATACTACTAAGGAAGTGCCGCCGAGGTGACTACATACGACCTCACAGTTCCATAAATACAAAGTTGCAGATAACACCCATATTGGAGGCGGAACGAAAAAGCTGTTCGAATACATAAAATGTAGTTAACCAATGGACCGGCTATTTTAGCAAACAAGTTTAGAAGTGCAAGATTAATTATGGTAATTACAGGTATTACTACGCAACTTTCTGCATCTTCTGCAGTCACTTATACTTTCAACTTTGTCAAAATACAAATCACAGGAAATTTGAAAACATCGAAAAAGGTCACGCGTAATTTTTGAGCAGATTTTGCAAAACTTTAGGGACGATCAAACAGAGAACAACATAGGATAGAGTTGCCGCATTCAAACTAGTAGTTGTACAAAAAGAGTATAAAGAAACAAATCAAATTAGTGTAAATCAATAAACGCCAAAAATCAATGAGATGAATAAACAACCTTTGAAAAATCATAACGAACCGGTACATCGCCGCCAATGTGCCCAGATTGTGGTAAGGGTTCTAACTTTTCGAGCTCACTCAAACCATCCAAATTATCTCCAGCTTCGTAGTCTGCACAAGGTGCTGAATATGCATTGTCTGTCGTACAAAAATCAAAATAATTAAGAAACTCACCAGAATCAACTTTCAACTTCTTGCACGCTGGCTCATCCATGGCGTCGAAAGAGCCGTGGATTGGCTGGCGTGCGAACAATTTGACGATCCGAGAGCTTGTACAGCTACTTCGGTTCAGACAAGTTCTAGCGTTAGTTGTTGCTCTCCTTATGGATCAAGACGTGACGTTTGCTGCTTGCATGCAGTTCACCGCCCGTCTTTTACTATCCTTCTCTTTCAAGCGATGCGCTTAAAGCAGTAGTTTGGTTGAGGGGCATTGATACATGTAAATGTGCATCGTACTTTCAACGTGAAAGAAGAAAATCGATCGACGCAAAAATGATAATGCATACCGAGATTATGAAAAGTTGTACAACGAGGAGATCCGATTCGACCTTACTGGCGATATTAAGATGCGATGAAACGGGAAATTTTAATGAGAATTAACACGTTGAGAAAATAATTTCATTCGTGCTCGGAATATCGGAAAATTTCTTAAGAACCTTCCAATATGCCAAGCACGAAGATTATCATGAGCTTGTTGGAAATCTATATATAAAACGTTACAAAAAAGACCAGTAACTGTAAGTCAAAAATATACCACTAACAGGTAAAAAATGACAGAAGATCGCAGATAATCGAAAGTGTTGATAAATGGTAAGTTCCTGCTTTCTCTCGGCTTATCAAAACGTACGCATCCGATCTGAGAAACAACAACACGCGTGTTCGACCTTTCTCAGCACGCGCGACACGTTATTTATAGGAAATAACGTCAAATATAACACTTCAGAAAACCAAAGATGGACACTTCTCAAACATGAAAACCATGCTAGTGAAATGTTCCAGAGATCAAAAATGACCAAAGTGACCTCAAACTTGATCTGAACGCTAGAAAAGCATGCCAAAATCTTTTCTAGTATGCTGAGAGGAACGCTTAGACATTGTTTCAAGGCGCGATGCGTAGACATCGTGTTCGCTGAGTGTGCATGGGAACGGAGGAGGTTTAGACACATCTCACAGACGAAACGCCGCAACGATGGTCATTGCAACGGAGTCAGCATGGCTGCCGTCAGCGTGATATAGGAAGACCGACTCCGCCTACATCTAGAATACTGTAGCTAGTCACAGCAATAGCGCGACGCAAGCCGCACGCCACTGAGGGAACTCAGTGACAATTCCAATAAAAAGTTTAAAAGCACAAAAAGTAGATCAAAAGGTCAGATATGATGGGAACCACAAGAGATTATCGTTGTGAGACGTTTTCGCTAGCTTTACAGGAAGTAGCGCTTCATAAACTGCCGAGATCGCGAAGAAATCTTGCTAAGCAGAGGTTACGGTAATTGACTTCGAAACTCAAGTAGATCAAAACGGTATTCGGCATTTCAATGGGAAATGGGAAGCCCTGTCACTAAGCACGATATTCAGCAAGAGAACTGCATGTTCTAAGAAGAAATTTTGACGTTCCAAAACAAAGAAAAATGGGCAACCAAAACGAAAAAAA